CATGTACAGCATGTTGCATAGATATACAGTGTGTTTATGCCTGTGTGGAAGAACCTTCACATGATGCCTTATAGACTGGGTAGACTGAAAGAGATCGACAGAAGAGAGAAAAGAGAAAGGAAGAGAAAAAGAAAGGAAAGGGAAGAGAGAAAGAATAAGGAGTGAGACAAAAAAAGGATTGTCTGATTTTACATTTAAGTAGACAGTGAGAGAGAGAGAAAAGGGGCCCATGTCCATCTTGGGCTGGTGCTGATTGGCTCCTATTGATTCTGTCTGCTTCTCTGTCTACACTGTCTGTGGCACGAAGAAAGAGGGAGAGAGATGCGAGAGGGATATATGATACAAGATTCAAAGCCATGTATTGTCCTGAGGGATACTAATGCAAACCATACAAAACACTTGATAATATGTACGACATTCTACATCAAACAATATTTTTTTATTACCACACCGTTATATCTACCAAAAACACTATAAGATGATTAGGGCTGTGTACAGGGTTTACGATTCAATATATTGCGATACATTGCAATACCTTAAGCAAGGCTATTTACAAAAAATCTAATCAAATTTTAGGAAAACAGTTTTGTTTTAACTTTTTTATGCAACCAGAACAGTGTGATCTGTATTTGTATTTATCACAATCCCTGTAGAATATAACACCATAGCCCTCAGTTTACGTTTTCTAGTGGTTGGGGTTTAATACAAAAATCAATACAGCATTTTTGAGAGTCACTACAAAATATCACAATACTCAAGTGTATCAATATCTTTTTACACCGCTAAAGATGATTGCCACCAGCCTCTAGACCTTGTATGGATGGAAGATGCAGTGGAATAAAGCATCATATACTGTATTTACACTACTCTAATACGTTATGTCAAAAAAGAGATTGGTTTATTGAACACGGCAGGGAGTGGGCACTGCTCTGCCAGTCCAAATAAAGCTTAAGTTTCCAGAGTTTCTCAGAGCGGAAGATAATGGCAGGTGTTAGAGGCGGATGGAAAAATGTCTTCCAACATTAAGTCCAGCATGGAAAGAAACACAAAAATCCTTTAGCCTGAAAAAGCACCAGCAATCCCACTGGTGTGAGACAGAGGCTACCAATCATCTTGACCAAGGTCTCATTTTTTATGGTAATTATACCAAGGTATTATGTAGATGTTGAAAATGCTTTATGTACCACTTATGGATGATCCCAGCAGTCAGTGTAATAATGCCAACTGCAAATCAAGGAAGGGAGGAGAGACAGATGTTAGTGTAATTGAATGAATTAAGGGAGAGAGATGTTGGAGAGAAAGAAGTGAGAGAAGATGGAGAGAGTAGCAAAGAGAACTGAGAGAGAGAGTTTATTGCTTTCTCAATTACTCACCATTCTTCTTTCTATATATTACAATCAGCGATTTTCTTAACATGTGACGTTTGGTTTTGTGGTTTTGGCTCTGCTCTGTTCTATTGTCTCTGTGGATAGAGACAAGGTCACAGGAGAAGGATGAGGTACTCATAGCCTCACTGCTCCTAATGATAATATGCAGCCAGTTCATAATAAATTTGACTTTAGGATTAGGACGTTACGTCATATTATAATCCTTCAGTAGCTGTTGGAGAACAAAATTGAAGCCACAATTTACTGTGTCAAGGGCAAAACTGTTTCTGTGTTAGGTATTTCAGTTATGCTTAAGTTAAACCCTCAATTTTTTATATTTATAGTTTGATCATTTTAGAGAAAATAATCTGCCCACAGGAAAATGTGCATATGTTGTACATTTTTCTACTTTAGTTTGGCTTATTCTGCAGTATTTTCCTTTTTTTGTCGTAATTGGAGTTTACATGTCCGCATTTATTTTCTCTGAAAATACAAGTTGAGTCAGGCTTTTGATACGTTTCTACCAAGTTTAATTCACTTACAAACAAACAGGTAACAGTTTAATGCAAGGTGTTAAACGTGAACAGCAAACACTGTTTATACAACACTGTGCATCAGTCATAAAATTTGGGCTGCAAGTAGCCGTCTGTGTCGACCCTGCAATCAGTGTGGATTTAGAGAATATAATTTGGACAGTAGGACTGTTTATCCTAGAGTTTTTTGCCATGCTGTGTATTGAAAACGGTGTCAGCATTCACACGTTTTAGAGCATTGTACTTTAAGAAGTCTTGTAATGTGGCGACATATTCAGCAGTGTTTCAGAGTTGCTTGGTAGAGGTTATTTAGTGTAGTGTACCATTGTATTGGTGAATGTGAACTCTGTATTCTGTCTTCATTCACCTTTGATATAAACTGATGCATACAAACAGCTTAATTATAATAATAATGTGATGCTGTGTTGAAGCAAGTATGTGGTTTACCTTAGCCCCCCTCCAGAGAGGCCAGAACAGTGGGTCAGCTGTTGAGCAGTAGCCCCGGAGCTGGAGACCATGACCTGCTCAAGGACACTTCACCAGGGAGAATATATGCCAAGAGGTCATCTGCGTAGAAAGACATAACACATGCCACCCTGTCTAGTTTGTTGATTTTTGCAGTCTGTGCACTTTCCATCTCTGTGGTGATATTCTGTTTCTTCACATGGATGACACTGGTTTATAATCTGGGTGGTGAGATGTGTAGAAACCACTTATCCCAAATATGACTTAACCAAAATATGTGCTAGCATTCACAATGCATGACACATTGTGAAAGGCAAGAAGAGGATGGAATGGTTAGAGAGGAAGGAAGAATTGAATGAAAGAATGGAAACGATGGGGTGAATCTAATTAGGCGCTGGCACAGACGGGGAGGGGTGGAGACTGGGTTGAAAAGGTTGAGTAGGAGAGAGTAGAGGACAGTCAGGGGGATGTATGGATGCATAGAAAGACAGATTGATCAGTTGAGATGCGGACATAGATAGAGAGATAGCCAGAAAGACAGACTGAATGATTCTGAAAGGAGGGCGTGTGTGAAATAGCAACAACGTGATGAGGAGATAACTGGGTAGAATAGGTTGCCCACGAGAGGAGAAAAAGGGCGGGATAAAACAGATAGAAGAAGTAAAAATGAAAAGACCATGAGACACGGTTGAATGGCAGGATGGATAGGAGAGAAGTGAGGGATGAGAGAGGGATGGAGTAAAAGAGGGGGAGAGCAGAGGGGAAAAGTAAACCACAGAGTGAGTCAGGGAATTATCCTTGTCTGGTCTTGTTAACTTGACACGGGCCACGCCTGGGAGGGAGACAGACAGACAGACAGAGTGCATGAAAAACTGAGAAAATCAGAGAAAAAAGTGTAAAGGAGAGACAGGGCGGGACAAGTGTACAGTAGCGCGGAGAGGAAAGATTGAATGAGAGATATAGTAAGCGTTAAGCTGGAAGACACAAATAGAGACAGGGGAGCCAAAGAGGGAACACAAAGTCCACTAGAATGGCAACGAAAAAAATGAAAGATTGAAAGCGAGAGAAAGAAAAAGAAATCCATAGAATCAAATTCACAATGCTGAGCCCTAAGTAAACATTGTCTCTATGTTATGTTCAGCATTAGCAGTCTGGAAGGAGACAAGGCCCAGCTCCAATCCTGGGTCTCATTTTACCACAAGCTTCGATGTATTCCTTTGTATGTGCCATCTTTTGATTGCATGAGTCTGAGCACTGCAAACGGCCTATCTTATCTGACCTAATTTGGAAATACATTGTAAACTGACTCAAACCGCATGGCCAGGCAGGCACAGCAGAACGTCCTGCCACCACTCAACTGA